AGGAAGTATGACCTAGCACATGAATTACCGGTAGGAGATCATTTAGGAATGAGGAAAACTCAGGCTAAGATACAAAACCACTTCTATTGGCCTGGATTGCATAAGGATGTGGTTGAATTTCGCTATACTTGCCAAATGGTAGGAAAGCTACAGACAGTAATAAAACCAGCACCTTTAATGCCAATTCCTGCATTTGAAGAACCTTTCACATGGATTATGATTGATTGTGTAGGTCCCCACCCTAAAACCAAAAGTGGGAACCAGTATTTGCTAACCATAATGGATGTGTCTACCTGATTTCCGGAAGCAATTCCATTACAGTGTCAAGGCAAAAAGGGTGGTGGAAGCGTTGCTTGCTTTCTTTACTCATTGTGGCCTACCCAGGGAGCTTTAGTCAGACCAAGGGTCCAATTTTGCCACTAAACTATTTAAGGAGGTCATGGATAGTTCAGGCATCAAGCACTTTAAATCAAGTACCTACCATCCTGAATCCCAGGGAACATTGGAAAGGTGGTATCAGACCCTAAAAACCATGCTGAGGGCTTATTGCCAGGATTACACAAACAATTTGGATAAAGGTCTCCCATTTATATTGTTTGCCATTAGAGAGGCCCCAAATGAATCAACTCAGTTTACTCCATTTGAGTTGATATTTGGACACAAAGTAAGAGGGCCTTTAAAATTAATTAAGGAAAAGTTGATAAGTTCAAAATCTGAGATATCACAGTTGGATTATGTATCTGAAGTAAGAGAAAGATTAAACATAGTCAGTGAATTAATTAGACAACATCTGAAGGTGGTACAGCATCAAATAAAGCAAGAAGCAGATAAGGAATCTAAAATTCAGATGTTTGTAGGAATAAAGTATTGGTGCTTTTGCCAGTGGTAGGAGATCCCTTCAAAGCATGGTTTGGATGTCCTTGTCAGATTGAGATGAAGTTGAGTCTAGTAATTATCTGGGAAAGATGACAGATGGGAAAAAGCTTTATTGGGTATGTCACGTGATTATGTTGGAACCCTACTACAACAGGGATAGGGAACCAGAGAAACAGGTATTAGTTACTGCCCCTCAGAGTGAGGAATCAGAATCCAAGTTATTTGATTTTGATGTGCCTCAAAATAAGTTAAATAATGGGGAATTCCTTAGAGAATTGGATAGGATAGTGAGCTATCTGTCTCAGGAACAGAGAACTGAATTGAATGGCTTGTTGCAGAAATATGAGGACATACGTAGGAATAGAATGTGGAGGACTAAAACTAAAATGCATGAGGTTGAAGTAGGGAATGCTATTCCAATAAAACAACACCCCTCCGGGCTTAATCCTCTCAAAGCTGCACAGGTACAGAAGGAAGTGGATGCGATTCTGCAAGAAGACATCAAGCCAAGTCAAAATGAGTGGAGTTCGTTGATTGTTTTGGTTCCCTAACCTGATGGTACTCAATGATTCTGTGTGGATTATTAGAAGCTAATGCCATAACTAAATTGGACACATACCCAATTCCAAGGCTGGAGAACTGTGTGGAAAAAGTTGGACAAGCCACTTATATCACAAAGTTGGACCGGCCAAGTGGTTACTGGTAAGTACCTTTGGCAGAGAGAACGAAAGCAGTTTCTGCATTTGAAACTCCAAAAGGGCTGTATCAATTTAATGTAATGCCCTTTGGTATGAAGCGTGCCCCAGCCACATTCCAAAGACTTATGAACAGAGTTGTGGCAGGACTGACTAATTAGGATGTCTATTTAGTGCCTTTCCAGTTTTCCACTTCACTTACTTTCTCTGTACTGAAGATTACTGTGCTACCTCCTTGAGCTACCATGACTAATGTCAAATAACTGAACATAGATTCTTTTTGGGTGGTTTTATTAGCTGAGCCTGCTCACCAGATATACTCACTGAGCCTCTTTTGCATTTTGATAGCCTCCTATGCTCTTCCAACAGCAAAGAAACTCAGTCTGAAGCTATCCTTCAACAGTGTGATTTTCATTGATCCTGTTCTTTATGAAATTATTTCATTTTCATTAAGATTAATACTCAGTTATTATTTCTTCAGGCGGGTGGTCCAACCAATACAGGAAAAAAACAACTTCTTTCTTTTAGTACATCCATTGGCTAATTTCTCTTCAAACAAAACATTTGCATCAAGACACAGGAAAGAGAGACAAAAGAATCTGTGTTGAAAAGCTGGTCGGAAAATAATTTTGGACTGAAAAATGTTCAATTTGGCATTGCAACAAAGTAAAGATCATGTCAATGTTGAATGCAACACATCTGATTTGCAACTACTAGGATACTACAAGGTTCATTTATCTTAGTTTTCATTTCAGTCACATTGGGCGCTGCTAATATCCCTGGAGATTCTCCTTCTCCACCAGAACTAATAGTAGAAAACTAGGAGAAACTCACAGGATATTCACTGCAATGAGTTTTAACACTCCAGGGGCATGTTTGCATTGTATTGTGAAGCCATCTCCTCCAATGAAGTCAGAGAAGTTTTTGACTAAGATGCACAAACTAAACCAATGTGCTTCATAGCCAAGGGAGTATTTTTGAAATGTGACCACTTTTCCAGTGGAGGCTGAACCTTAACCATCTATCTGGATACCAGGGACACACTTCTTATCTGCTTGGAACAGTGCTATAGGATCCTTTCCACCAATTAGAAAAGCAGATTAGGCCACAGTCATGATCAAAAGACAGCAGTTTTAATTTAAAAAAAATTGCCTAGATTATGTGCTCAAATCTTTGGAATGGTTTTCAATCCATTATCTTCTGACTCTGATGGAAGAGTATAACTATTTTATAATAGAAGTTGGCCACTAGAATCATAGAATTATATACTACAGCTCTTCAGCCCATTCAGTCTACATCAACAGAAATTACTCTTAATCTACACCAGTCCCACTTTACAGCCCTTAGCTTTGAATGTCATGACATTTCAAGTGTTCATTCATATACTTTTTAAAGGTTGTGAGATTTCCCTCTGTGTGAGACAAAACTTTCCTCAAATTCTCTCGAAACCTTCTGTCTTTCAACTTGAAATTATGTCCCCTTGTTATTGACCCTTCAACTAAGGGAAACAAATGCTTTTGTATCCACCCTGTCCATGCCCTTTATAATCTTATATGCCTTAATCATGTTCCCTCCCAGCTTCTCTATTTTGAAGAAACAATCTGAGCTTCTCTTCACCTAAACTGCTCCATCCCAGGCAATATCCTGGTAAATTTCCTTTACACTCCCTCCAGTGCAATCACACCATTCCTATAGTGCACATCGCACTCCAGCTGTGGTCTAACCAAAGTCCTGCGCAGCTCCAACATAATCTCCCTGTCTTTATAATCCATGCCATGACTAATATAGGCAAGTGTCCCATACGCCTTCTTAACTACCCTATTAACCTGCCCTGCCACTATTAGGGATCTGTGAAGAAGCACCATACAACACCTCTCTTCCTCTGAGCCTCCTGAAATAAATTGACAGTTGTGGCTTTGATCAAATTATTGGTCTAAAGTTCACCAAGGGAGATTTCTGGCCTTCAATTTTCAGAGGTAAAAGTGTCATTTTCATGTTTTGCGCAATATGCAGATAACAGTGTCAGTCTGGTCTCTCTAGAACCCTTCCATTTGGCTAAACAAATTTAGGCCTGATTATGTATTCTTTTATTTGTTCATAAGATGTGGGCATTGCTGCTTAGGATTCATAATTGCCCAGAGGTCAGTTCAGAGTCAACCACACTATGCTGGGTCTGGAATCACATGCAGGCCAGAAAAAGTAAGGACAGCAGATTTCCTTACCTAAAGGACAGTAGTGAAACAGACGCGTTTGTGTGAAAGTTAATAGTAGTTGTCATGCGGCTAACTTCTTCATTCCTCATTTTCAATGAACTGAAATTTCACCATCTGCCATGGTAGGATTCAACCCTATGTCCCCAGAATGTTATCCTGGATTTGGATTACTACACCACTGCCTTTCTGTGATTCCATTTGGAGTATAAACAGATTGTGTATAGATTGAGAGAGATAGTAGGAACTGCAGATGCTGGAGAATCTGAGACAACAAGGTGCAGGGCTGGATGAACACAGCAGGCCAAGCAGCATCATAGGAGCAGAGAGGCTGACGTTTTTCTGATGAAGGGTCTAGGCCCGAAACGTCAGCCTCTCTGCTCCTATGATGCTGCTTGGCCTGCTGTGTTCATCCAGCCCTGCACCTTGTTGTCTCTGTGTATAGATTGCTTGGGTTATAACAATGATATGAGAAATCTATTGGTGAAACTTTTGTGTAAATGTATTAATTATACTCCCTATAGCTTATTTTATCATTGCTTTATTTTTGTCGCAATTATTTGATGTACAGATCATTACAATTTTAAGGGGCATATTGTATATGCAACAAATCTCAAACCCAAGTGCCAATGAATGGACCTCCTGTTTGTTTGCTGTGCACTACTCACTCTGTTTTCCAATATCACTTCCATCCCAAGGAATTGAACCCACCCACCCCGCACCCCCCCGCCCCCATCTGCTTTTGTCCCTCTTATCCCCATTCCCTCCACTGGCTGCTCCTCTCCCACCTCACCACCCTGGATCTATGTTGCCATCTGAGTGCAGAATCAACTTTAGACTGTTTAAAGCTTTGGCTGTTACTAAAACACTCAAAGTGCGTCAAGCATTTTGAGAAAATTGAAGCCGGTTTCTTCATCGGTGTCACAAATTAAACTGAGGATTTTTTTCTCATGGGGCAGGCTTTCCATAGCCTGCTTTCCTGGTACTCATTCAGGGTTTGCATTTATGTTATTTGAAGCACAAAGTATTATGAATTTTTACACTTGATATGGAATTATGCTCACTTGGAGTACACGTCTGGAATTCAGGTCAGAACGTCAATGAGCTCCACTGCATCTGCCACTCATTCATATTTTCTGTCTGCCTTGTTCAAACGTTGAACTTTGACAACACCTCTGCAAATGTGCAACCTAATTCCAACTGATTGTTTCAAATACAGGAAACAGCAACGAATCGTAAAGAAATGGATAATATCGCAATCACATGTGAGAAAAGCAATTGAAAAATATCAATGACAGATATATGGAAACAATGAATGAAACGTAAGCAGCTGGAAATATTACCAATAAAAGATAGAAAAAGGGGGATCATCTTCTAATACTTGGGAAGTTTTTTTTGTCTACCGTCATGATTTTGCAACAAACCAGAAATGTAAGACAGGAAATAAAGCAACTTTACATAAATGTTAAAATTGCTAAATTTCTAACTCAACTACAGCTACTAATCCCATACTACACGTGAAACACCTTAACTGTACTTGCTACTTAAAATTTGTGTCTCTTTGAGAAGCCTGAGGCTAGAATTCTTGGGGCCTTCAGGATTCATCACTGTCAGCTAAGGAGACCCAGTGAGGTAGCAGGCTACGGTTCCCAGAAATTATTTATGATTAACATCAAGACGAATCATTAATGTAGCTAAGCCAAGACTTGTGGTTTGTGTGTTTCACCCAATTCCTCCATTCCTGTGGAAAATTACTTACAGATGAAATCCCTTAGGGTTTAGTTCTATAAAACAACAGAACAAGGTAAAACACAAATTCCAACATTTTCTGATGTAATTTGGGATTTTGGGACAATATGGTTTATTCACAGCGCCAGGAATGTTTCAATGATTTTATAAATTCTTAATAGCTCACCATATTCCACCTCCAATTATCCATGTTAATACACTAGGATTTCAGTGTTTGAATTCCCATTAGGATACAACATTGTGGGTGAACCCACGTAGGGCTGTTGAAAGGCAGATTTGTCTTCTTTATGTAGCTGTACTTACTTCTGGCTTTACCTTGGATAGAATTGTTCGCAAGTCCAAGGGTTACTAGAATCCCACCAGATCTGACTTCATTCATCAACCAACTACTTATCTGTGGAGTTTGACAGCCTGTTCGTGTATTCTGGAAAATCAAAACAACTGAGTTCCACACCAAATTCCGTTTGCATGGATATTGCTGATTCTACATCCAAAACAAACTTGGAATTTCTTATTTGTTTTTAGATATTTCAAAGATCAAAGATTAAAAGTTCATCTGTATTGATTATTGGGCCCAGGGCATCAATTCATAATATACCCATACTTGGTCCCGTTAAAGTAAACCTCAATCTTCTTCCTGCCTCATCCTTTGCCTTACTGACTGACTGACTGACTGAGTGCGACCTGTGTTCTTGGGTGAACAACAGGAAACCAATAATGTTCAAAGCTGGTATGTGTTGCAGTAGTATCCAACTTTTAAAGGGAGGTTGAACCTCTTAAAGGGGTGTTATACTGATTGAAAGGAAGCTATTGCTGATTGTCAATACCAGGATTGTTTGCAACTGAAAACAAAGAAAATGCAACACCAGGGCAGAGATAAAAATAGCACATGAGAAACTCATGTCATGTTGGAGAACTTGGTCATGGATGTGGACAGGGAGGACAGAGAGACAAAGGTCAGGACATTATCAAGAAATGGTATTTAAATGACAGAAGGTGGTTGAGATATAGTGTGAGACAACAAGGTGCAGAGCTGGATGAACACAGCAGGCCAAGCAGCATCATAGGAGCAGAAAGGCTGACGTTTCGGGCCTAGACCCTCTGATG